ATCAAAATTTATTAAAATATAATTTTTAGAAAAATCGAACATGGACTAAATGTTGTTAGTTAATGTATATCTTCACTTAAAAAATCTCGAGTTATATCATCGAGAGACTTTTCAAAATTTAAAAGGACAATTTCGACGTTACTTTTTAATCATTATGATATCATATAGGTTAAAAAATTCAGCTTCAGCCCTAACTAACCCACGAAGTGTCACCAAGAATGGCAGTTGACCGATTACTCTCACGAAGGGTCAGTCGACCATGACGCATATCTATGGGATTATTCCTGTGTTCTGGATTCACTCAATAATTGAACGACGATTATATATCTTACTCACAAGAGATGCGCAAATGATAGAGAGCGAGTTTCATAAATCATGTGGCACTTGACAAAAATCGATTGTCCGAAATTATTACTTCTAAACTTTGTTCTTTTTTCACATGTATCAACTTTCTTCTCCGTAATCCCAACCTCTTTTTGTAGGTAATTAAACGTCAGGAGCGACTATTGCCACCTTATTCATCTAAGGAAATTGAAGAGTCGTAATGGAAGACGATGGATTGGTATTTGATACTAAAGAAGATCAAACTTGAAAATTTCCATATATGGAAGTATGATCTTCTTATAAATTGTACTTTGTCGCGTAGTAGTAAACTATCCTCTCTAAAAATAAAATTATAAATGGAAACGTCGCAATTTATCCAAGTTCACCTAATTAAATGAACGTCCATACCATGTCAATTACGGTAATTCCACTGGAGAAAATTCCATGGTAGATCACGTAACGGCGCGGTCGAGAATCCCGTTATGGTTAACGGAGTTAGGACTATACCAAAATAAGAAGGCTATCCAAACCGATAAACGGAATTGTCTGCTCAGAAAGCATCTTCGTTATCATCATTACTCACGTCACTCCTTTCACTTACTCTCTCTCTCTCTCTCTCTCGTCTTGGTAACAGAAAAAGGCGATTCAAAGGCAGAAAAATCTGTACTGCACAAAATCCTTAGAGAGAAATAGGAATTTTCGCCATGTTCATATAGCTCTTGATCTTGTTGCAGTATAGCATAAAAAGCCTCTACAAGGATCATAAAGTTTCGACAACTAATTATTATTAACGTTAATTTCGTGTGACTTTTCTCCAGATTTTGGAGTTTTCGCTGAAAACTAGGACAGATAATGAGAGGGTGTAAGAGAATTGCTGAGGTGGCGGCGGAGGATGGCATCAGAATGACGAGAACTAGAACAGCACTAGCCGCCACTACTACGGTGAGTAAAAGGAGAAGAGTTGATGGAGGAGAATTGGAGTTAGCCACAAATTTAGTTCAGCTCGAAACTCAAACCCTAAGCATAATGACGCCGGAGAATTCAGATTCCGGAAATTCGACATGCGAGAGTTTTAGTTCCGATCATGTTTTAGCATCTTGTTGCTCAAGCAATGAAATCAATGAAGTGGTGAAAGGGAATTCGAAATTTTCAGATCTGCAGGTAAATGTTTAATTCAAATTTCAACTGAATCTGTGAATTTGCCACGAATTTTTGGTCCAGTGATTAATAGCTAGATATTGATTTACAGGAGG